GGTATTTGATTATAACCTGAGATGTTTAATTTACTTCACCTCGTTTTTGCATCCTAGTCATACTTTTAAAGAACGCAAGCTGTACTAGGTCATTTGCCACTGTTTTCAATGATTCTCAGCATCGGACCTGTGTCTGGATACATCCCCAAACGTCTCAACACCATTATAAATTAGCAACGATATTCTTAGCAAAATTGCAACCAGTCAGTGTCAATTAAAGGTTACTTCACCGTAGAACGATTATGTAATTTCTCCCCCCTGTCTTAGTGCCGACCCCCTCTAGTAGGCCTCTTCTCATTTCGTATAGAAAAGATCACATTTTCACAACTTTGTGGCTTTCTTATAGCTTAGAGTCGACCTATTAAAATGTCTGAATGTGGAAGAGCATGTGAAAAAGATGACAGGGAAAACATTGCGGATAATGATTTTTAGTCTTGCTGAAAAAAGGATAAGGTTGAGAAAAAAGCAGTCAGAGCGACTCTATACAACAATAAGATAATGCGACCTAACCGAAAGTCACACTACCATCCTCTATGAGCGTTGCAGATACCGTTTATATCGTCTTCGTTTTGTCTGTCCTTGGGAGCCTATTTCTTCATCCTTGGACTCCAAATTATCTTCTGCAAGAGCTAGCTCATTTATGGGAGTCCTTGTGGATAAGGCCTCAGTGGGCTGAGTTTCGTTGGGCCAGGTAGGAGGAAAAGTGAACTCAGCCTGAGGCCGAGGAAGACTGTAAATGCGACAAGGTGTGCAGATCTCTGCGTCAATAAGGCTCGGGAAGCGAAGATAAACAATGCCGTCAGTAGGGTCATAACCCAGCTCCACGGGTCGGCTCGCCTCCCAATCGGCCCAACGGTCGAGAGAGGCGCGTAAGTTATCAAAGGCGCGCTTTATAATGAAAAGAGCAGTGCAATAAAAATGCAAATATATCAAAATAGAATTTTGTCCAAAAAAGCATGAGAAAATAATTACTGCTCAAGTGTAAGATAGTTTGGTGACAAACATTGGAATAAAGCATGCGGAGTAATTCATTGCAAGAAGATCGTTTCGGTAAATCATAAAAACAAAGTAAATCGAGAGGGGAGAACCAAATATAAAAAAGATGTTAAAACAGAGGTTAGGTGATTAAGATATTTACTTTAGAAAAAAGTATTGCACGAAACTTAAATGTAACTGAGTGGTGATAAATAGGACTGAAAAAAGAATGACAAATGGTCACTTTAAAAACGAGATTCGCCACAGGTGTGTGTTGAGGAATGACAGTAGATATATATATGTGTATATATACGAATAAAACGAACAACATATCGAGATGAAACTCAAAATACATGTAAAAGGCTCAGAATGCTTACCAGAGTTGACTCAACTAAGGCTCGAATAAGAACTACCCTCTGGTAAGCGCTGAGTTCATGAAATGCTTTGCTGTAAATACGGTCAGCAATGTTCTTGTTACACATATCAAGAATTGGACCTGGTTTCCGGCCAAACACCTTAAAGAAGTGCTCAGGCACACCAAGCCGACGGGCAGCCTGTATTTTGAAGACAGTAAATAAAAAAGGAAGCGTTTTTGCGCTATTAGACGTGTTGTTACAATAGGTAAACAGACTATTATTTTAATAAATCATCTAAAAAACTAATGTCAGATTGAACGATATATAAAAGATAAATAGCAATATAAGACCTCTAAAATAGATAAAATATGTAAATTCAACGTTCAAATAGAATATCTTCGATAAAAGAATATTTTGATACTATCGTTAATCCTTGAGTAAGAATTTAGTCACCCTAGGTTGCTTAAGGCGATTTAAGGACTGAAAGTTGAGATTTCTCAAGTGGCCTAGTAAAGCCATCGAATTTAACTCAGTCTTGCTTTTCAAAAGGCTATCCAATCCATAATTGACTGCTATTTATATATAGCCGAGGTCTCATCAGCACTTCCAGAGGGATTCGATACTAGATTGAAACAAATAATATA